AGTCAAGTGTCCACGCTTAGATACCAGACGGAAGCAGGCAACAGCGCCCACACACAAAGCCGAAAAGGGGCGAGAACTTAATAGAATTGAAATAGTATACAGTATACAGCCAGAAAGTATAATAAAAGCAAAGGGACACTAGCCAACAATGATATCAACAAAGTTGCATGCGGTCAGCTGGCCTGAGCTGAGCTTAACAAAGTCCCACTAACAACAACTACAACAGCAGCAAATCAGAAAACCTTAATATTAAAGGGGAAGTGTAGATACCGGCTCAAAGTGCCAAGAACTTACTTAAAAATAATAAAATGAGCAGACAAAGCTGAAATATTGCGCTCACAGATATTGCTATTGCACCTGCCTATTAACTCAATTTGAAAGTACTTAGCCCGGTGGTGCTTTCGAGAGGGGGGCTTGAGCTGCAGCTGCTCAGCAAATACTTTGATTTACTTTTCAAGCACTTCGAAACACTCTGCTTATGCTTACATATACTACAAAACAGTGCAACACCGAGAGGATATTTATTTCTAAATTTTATTCGCTTTGCAGCTATTTTGGCAAAGGCTCTATAAGCTCAGATAACTTGAGGCTGAGAGCTTAAATAAAAGTTAAACTAGTTTTTAAAATAGTTACGGCTAGCTCACCTCATTCACTTAAAGCATGAAGGAGACGGACATAAATGATGCAGTACATACATATACATATACCATACATTCGATATACCTTTTTTGCCCATTTTCAGTGAGTTCCAGGCATAATTATTGACAGAAAATCACAGACATTAACTTTTGCTTCGTGTGTAAACTTTTGGCATCGTGTGGCAGTGACTGAACGTAGGTCATCAGTGGGATTATAATCCCTTGTTTTTGGCAACGCTGTCGTGGCTCGCCTTGACTGGCAATAACAGTCACAAGTCCTACGTGCTCCTGACACCAGGCAGACTGCAGACCATAAGTATGTGCTGCATGCAGGCATTCTTGTGGCAGTGAAAGTATTGGGAGGGCATTTTTGGCAAGGCTGCAGCATACGAAAATTTGCAATCGCGAGCAGCGACCACAGCTGAAGTAAAAGGGAGCTGCAACCGAATTTCCGTTGCCAGAAAAATATAAGCACTTTGTGCTTGCCAGAGTATGCTGCTGGCTCGTCAATTGTGTGATTCAGGGCAACTGAAAAACGAGCTGTCTGACTTTCTGACAGTCCGACAGTCGGACGAACAGACGAGTAGACGGGCAGACGGGCAGACGGGCGGACGAGTCGACGGGAAAGCGCTTTCCTTGTTAATGAATGCGTCCTGACCTGTTCTCCCATTAGCCCCGCTTTTGTTTCCATATATGTCTGAATATTTTCCAGCAGCAGCAGAGGATAACGAAAAAAGGGTGAGCTTTCACAATAAATATTACAAACAACTCGTTTAAATTTTAAATTTTACTACCTACAGCAACAGCAACGACGACGGAGGGCGCTTGGCACAGTGTCAAGCATTTGGTATGGCTCCGGTACAGGTTCAGGTATGGGTAAGGGTGCGATACAGCTGCGGGTGCGGGTATGGGTACGGGCTGCCGGGGCCGTTGATGTTTCGGGTGGCTTTTAACTTTATTAAAATAAATGAAAACGAGCTAAGCTTGTCTGCGGCTCTGTTGCGGAGCTGAGCTGCGACTGTGATCCAAACGAAGAGCCAAAGCACACGCGCACATATGCATAGATTTTACAGGCAAGAAAGGACTTTCACATTTGGTGGTGCACCTCAGCAATATGTGTTTTCTTCAATTTAAAATTTTATTTATTAATGCTTAGCCAATACGCGAGAAGTCGATAAGCCAGATGGCAAAGTATCAGCTTTCAGCTACACGGCAAACAAAAGTATGTATGCGTAAGTCAATGGCCGAGATAAACCCGCCCATAGTCGTGGGCAATCTGAAGTAAAGCCCGAACATAGAACACTCCTTGGAAATCCAGTTACAGTCCGTTCGTTCCGTCAGCCAGTTAAGTCAGTCAGGAGCAAGTAGGCAAAGGAAAGGACGAAACCTAAAAGCATGTCGATATTAGGCAAGATAAATTGAAAATGAATTGCCAAATAGAGTGAGTCGGGTTTGCCGGAAGAAGAGGAGAGGAGGAGCATAGGAGCAGAGGAGTAGTGGAGTAGTGGGCCATTTCAAGGGAGTTCCAGCAAAAACGGTGTTCGGTCGAAATACGCAAGCAAGGTGTGGAGGGAGGCAGTAGAGACAACGTAGCATAGCATTCGGCAACGCAAGGGCCACGTCAATGGCATTAAGTCAGTCGCAGTGAAGGCATCAAGAGAATTGAATGAAGCGGAAACGGAAACCAGCTAATGAATAAGGCACAACGAACCAAATGAACGCCACAGTCTTGATGCCTTGCCGACTTATCCTGTCCTGTCCTGGCCTGTCCTGTCCCGTTCCGCTCCGTCCCGCCCCGTTCCGTGTCGTCCATGAGGGCCCCAAAAACCAAAGTTAAACTGCACAGTTCAGTGGCTCGGTAAGGTTTACGCGGCTTTGACCACGCTTTGACTAACTAACGACCTTCACAGTTTATAAACAATTGGATATATGTATGTAGGTATTTTAGCAGAGCCAACAATGTGAATAACTTCGATTATTGTAACAATGGCACAATCAAACTTTTCCTTAGCTCCGGCTAACTTATTGTGCGGCTCCGTATTTTTTCGATTCAATATACTTATATACTATTGCAGTAGTCAATAAATACAAACCTAAACGTAGACTGGGAACTTTAATCTTTCACTACAAGTTGTTTTAAAAGGCAAACAACGTGAGAGCGAAAAATGACGGCTGCGGAGTGCCGAGGCAGCTTCCGATCAAATGCACAAACTAAACAAATGTTCAAGCAAACAATCAACATCCCAACCAGAGAAGTAGAGCGGGAGTAGGTGATGGCCACGGATACTGGGGGCCCGGAGACTTGCGTGCCATTGACGTTGATGGTACTGCTGCAGGGGAACGTCTAAAACGCACGCTTCCCAAAGTGTCGATAACAATTTACACTTGAGACGATATCTCAATATTGTCGCACGTCAAAAACAGCATCGATGGCAGCCGACAAACCACGGCGCACTACCCCGGGGCTCGGGTGCGGACGGATCAGCTTCTGCTGGCAGCAGGACAATGCTGACCATGATGAGCCATCCTGAAACCGAATGCTGCTGATAGAACTGATGCGATTACCGCCTCCGCCGCTGCGATGTCTCAGTATTGTTTTGTTTATTTAACTGGTACCGAAAACAACGGAAGAGCCAAAAAACTGACACCGTTTCAAGTGGTAGTCAAATGATTGCCACCCCGTGCGTGTAAACAAAAGTCCACAGTAAACAAGTCAAATGACAGCTACAAAAATCTGAAATCATCTGAAGTGTCAATCATAAGTGTTTCCCCTATAGATAATAATCAACAGGCAAGGAAGTTGAGCAGAGACAACAACTCGATAGTTACGAGCTCCGATTACCGAAAGGTCTAAACAAATGCAATTCCGTTTATATGTAAATATTCATTAGTCTAACTAGACTAATGTAGTTAATGTCTATAACAGATAAACTTTCAGAATTATTTAGTGCCAGTTGAGTGACAATTGTATAATGATGACTATGTAACTAATCTTGGTTTAAACTATCGCTAGGATACCAGTCCCCTTTAATAAGTATCATCGAGATTATGATTAATAGGAGGTCATGCAGTCCTGATTAGATCCCGCAGAGACTTGCTGTTCCCTCATATACCCAAGTACATCAACGTTCTTGTAAATATTTATAAGTGGAAAGCAAAAAACAGAATGGAAAGGTAAGTGGGCTCGCAGAAATAAGCTATAAATATTAAGCCGCGTTCTGGCAAGGGCCAGTCGGGCATCCAACAGCTTCCGACTGGCTAGAGCCTGCGCTAAGCACTCTTATGATTAGCCACTTTAATATTTACCTAGCCATCCTTGCTGATGGTAATTGCAGGCACTCCTGATTCGAGCGATTAACTTGCGGGCGGTGCGACCGCAGTGCCTGGGACAGCGTGAAATTCGCATCAAATGAGTATCTAGGAAATCATTCGACAAAGGATGAGCCTCAGCCCGAAGCCCGTCTGGGCTGATATTCAAATTAGTGAACGGAAAATTTTGCCTGGGGGCACTTGGCATATTTGTCTGATGCTTAACCGAGTTGGCACACGCACTGCCAACACACCCAATCCAGATCGAGTGCCGATCTGTGCACTGTAGTTAGTGGCAGATATATTGGCATTGCGGAATCGCTCAAGTGCGCTCTACAATGGCACTCGTTCAGACAATGTTAAATGCGCGCTCTTTGGCTCTGCCTGTCAACTCAGCTCAAGTGGCCCTGTCCCGCCCATTCCGACCTCTGTCCCACCTCTGTCATCCACCAAGGCCTCTCTCTCCCTCTGCTCGCCCTCTGCCTCTCTGACTATACCAAAGCAGAGCAAGTGCACTTGTCACAATCATTGACATCAATTCGTCGCAGCTGGCTTTTTAGCTGGCGCACGGTTGGGGTCACAGCCCCAGCGAGGGGAAAGGGCGACGTACCCTAAATGTTTTGGCATAATATGAAGCCCATTAAAGCTGACCAACCTGGGCTAGGCAGCAAATATAACAGCAAATCATTCTCACTTCTCACTAAATAGGGTAGTTTGATTTATTTCAAAATGCATATGATAGACACAACGGTAGTAATTAGCTGGGTAATCAGCCACCTTGATCTATCCATATCCATTTCTCTTTTCGTCCATCGATTGTGTTCGTTTTTAAGAGCCAGTCTCAAACCTCGGTACATCGACTGCTCCAGATTATACATTAATATGGACATAATGCGTGCTCCCCTATTTGCGTGCTCCGTCGTTTCTCCATAAAATCGAAAACACCGTTAGATTATTTTTTCGGTTTTAGCTTCAAGGACCCTTCGTCGAGTACCGTCGTAGTCTTATTTTATAATTTGTTTTTTTTTTTATTATTATTATTATTTTCTTTTAATGCCGATGGCTAATTTTGAAGATTGAAGATTTATGCATAACGTCAATTGTCATTTACCATCTATGCATTTATCGCATTTGTTGTCCATTGCCACATGCACTTGCACTTGAATATATGAATACATATATATGTATGTATATAGGCATGTATATACATAGGAATATATGCGCATATACATTGCATATGTTCGGACATTTATAACAAGATAATCTAGAGGCCGTGGTATGCATTTCAATAATGTCTGGCAAGTTTATAGTATAGTTGTGTTCGTAAACATAGTCAGTGTCCGTCCTTCACCCAGTTGCTACGTGGTGTGAATCCTCAGGGTGTTGTAATTGAATTTACTTTTGTATGTGGGTGGCGCTTGAAATTCAGGCCTTGGTGTGGGGCCACGTGTGCTGTAGGAGAATCGTTATTTAACAGATCCAACTGTGGTCTGAAACTAAAACACTAACCAAGCACTGTGAAACTCGCAAAGATTTCTATTGTCCGCCTCTCCAATGCTCTGCGGGGTCTTCGTTCCATAGGATTTTAGCATCAGACGGATTTGGTTCTTCATGGCACGAGGACATTGGTTGTTTCTGCTACACAGTTCAAAAATCCCAGCCAGTTGTTGCGAGAACAGATTCTCCAAAGCCTTCTCCGGACTGGGCGTCCGTGAGTGCTGCGGATTAACGTATGACATGATCCGCGACACAGTGCGCTCGTAATCAAGGGGCAGGCCAGTCAATCGATCGGCGCGGAACAACCGAGGCACTCTGTCCTTTGATTTGGGCTTGGTCACAACGATTGTCTTACGCCAGACGCGATGCTCAACGCGTCGAAATTGGCCATTGCCTGAGTTCCTGTAGTTCTGCTTCAAGATGCGCTGCTGCTGGCGCAGCACTTTGGCATTGTTGGGTTTGGGCGCTGAATTTATGCTTCCAGACATTGGCCTTTGTTTTCGTTGGTTTCCAATGGCTTTTGTAAGAGACATACTCAAAATAAAACAATTTAAATACTTCGAATTTTGCCTATTCCAAAATATTTATATATTTTTTTGTTTAATTTTTTTAGTTTTTTTTGTTTGGTTTAGTTGGAATTTCAGACTGAATCAAAATTGAATGCGAGGTTCCCTAGATCAACTCCAAAAGCAAAGCCTCCTCACACATACAAACCTCATTGCTCCAGCCACAAAGAATCGATGAAGAGCAGTTTCGGATAGGAAGAGGCTCGATTGTTGTAATTATTTAACTTGTACTCAGATGAAAATAAATACACACACACGCACACACATGTAAGTGGGCAGACACAACAAGTTGCAGGCTGCTGCGGCTGGCCACAGGCAACTTAACTTTTGAAACAATGTCAAATACAATAAACGCTTGCTCTGCATGTTATTGCAAATGACACCAACACAAGCGAACAGCCTCCACGCAGACACATCCAACTGCTCTTGTGCTTTCATTATTGTTATCGTTATTGTTGTTGCTGTTGTTGCTGTTGTTGCTGTGTTATATTCGCATATGCCTGTGGGACCGCATTATTGCATTGCAAACGAACAATAGCAATTGCAATTACTTCTAGTTGATGTAAGTATGTACAAATGTAAGTAATCGTTTCTGGGCGATGCACGATGAAATACGAGCGCACTCACACCGAGAGAGAGCGAGAGAAGAGGGAGACATTCAGATACACAGACATATGTATATGGCTGTGTCCACTCACGCACATCTGCACGAGATGTGCGCTGCAATGGAGGCTACACAAATAGAACAAAAGCAATATAATTAATTATCAAAATACAAGCCAAGCAGAAACAGCTCGATGTAACAGCGATACACCCGCCACAAGCAAAGTCAGAGCATGGATCATCACTATTCCGGGAGAGTAAATACTATTGTAGCAGTCCCACAAGATGAATGACATAAGCAAATGTTGCAGACACAGTTACAAGAGTTCTCAGATATATATCAAGGTGGCTCTAGCATGGCTTTCATTTGAAATCAATACAAAGATGAGATAAAATATGGAATGGGTAAAATTTATAAGAGGTGTGAATGAATAGTACAGAAGAGTGTTTGGCTCTTGCACTAATAAATAAATCAAATTAATTTTATGAGTTTCAATTTGTGCAGATAGAAGTGTATGTATATTATGTATGGTGTATGTCCTTATCAAACTGCTTTCAAAATATAACAAAGCTACAAAAACGTGAAGAAATGGCTGCGTGAGAAGGAATAGAATGAATCAAAAATAGATTTTTTTCTTTTTGCTTTTTATAATGGATTTTACATGTTTCTCGAAAGCGTTCTCCAATTGCTTTCAGATCGTATGGCACCCGAGTTGCTGTTTTTGCTGTTGCTGTTGGCGATGCTAATGTCGAGAGGCAATAACAACAGCAACAACAACAACAACAACAACAGTGTCAACAGACAGTAGCTATAATGAAAGTATAACGAGACATTAAAATCTCATTTCATACCTATACAAGAGTGCTTACAGGCAGAAATGTGTTCTGCTCAGGTGTCTTTCTGCCAAGGAGTGAACGAACGCTAACAAATTGTTGGGATATTATGAAGAAATGGGGAAATTGAAAAATTCAACCGACGAAGCCAGCAAACTTAGTTTCCTAAATAATGGAGATGTATGTAAATAATAAGAGCAATCTATCCAGATTACACATGGCAACTTTGGATGTGCTTTGCTTCTATAGCCTACTCGGCAGTTGAATAGTAGAAATTGATGTCGCCCCTATGCAATTTGTGAGTTATCAGAGTATTCCTCAGAGCTTTATGAGTGCAGGCATTTTTATGGAAGCACTTTGATCCCCTTTATGGGCTCAAAAACAACATTGCATTTTTATCGCCGACATGTCCTCGGCTATAATTAAAATACACACTCGAGTGCAACTGCAACTTGCAATCCAAAAGTTTATTTGGTTGAACACCACAAGAGCAAGGCCATTACAAGCTCTCTGCTGCATGTGAAGTGCCTGCTGCATGGCCGTCCATGACATGACCGCAGAGCCAATTCAAGAGCCCGGAGACTCGATTTAATGGAAAATCGACCACAGAAACAGTAACAACTTGAACGATTCAGGAATTGCAACATTCGACGACCACTCGAAGGACTGAAACGAAGACTCTAACAGTGTGCAGCAATTGACATGCTTGTAGTCTCCTGCCACACGCCACGAGGAGGATAACACCATTCACACTATTCGAAGTAGTTGAGCGGTGGTAAATCGACTCTCTGATTGTTGATCAAGCATTTGCATTGCCCGGACAAATTGTTGCCCATTGCTTAGACAACGATTTATAAATACGCGTCATTTATCAGTAGGCGTAAACGAGGATAGTATAAAGTAAGAAAGGTATCGGACGGGAGGAAAACCTATCTCTATTATCTGCTCAGTCCCAAATCTTGAAGTCAGTCAATCAGATATACATATATATGTACATGAATAGTCTGTTCTATCTGATATATATACGCTTATACCTACAACTGATTCCTCTGCCTCACATTCGATCTATCTTCCCTATCCGTGAACATCGCCGTCTGCCAGGATATTAAGTGGGGTCAGTTTTGTGAGGGTTGTCGTCGACTCTACGAGCCAGCTTTGTCCTGCGGATTGTCGTCGGCGCCATTAAGCACAAGTTTTACGAATAAGCAACGCGGAAAAGTGTACAAACAAGCCGCCAATCGCAGGTTCAGCCTTCTGGCCACGCGATTTTCAGCAAACTAATTCAAGTGTTCCGTGAAATGAGTCGAAAATTGACATTCAATTTTCGAGACCATTGCACATTGCCAAGCGCCAAGCGCCAACCGCACTGCAATGGAGTGCCGAAACTAAAGGTGCGACACGGTGCTCCAGCGGATTTCAGTCGGCACTGGATTTGCAGCATTGCACCGAGTGCTTGAAGAGGAGGAATGCTATACAACGCTTAAGGATATTCAATACGAACAGCATCCGCAACTATAAGCAGACTATATACCATAGACTTCGAATCTTTCGTGTATAAAATGTATATTTAGTAACGAACGAACTTAAAGGTTTTGCAATATTGCTCTATGGTTAGAATGCTCGGCGCACTGGTAAAATAGTATTCAGTATATAGTTGACTGAGCGCTTTAGGAGACAGTTAGTGCGACAGGTGCGGTAAGTGTGAAGCTGAATCGTGCATATGACTTAACGTGTTTCGAAAGTTCAAGTTGTGCCATTGTTGCTGCTGCCCTGCACTTGGCCTATTCTCGTCCCGCATGTGCATGCGAATAAAGGGCAACGAGGACAACATTGGCATCATCCAGCACGCAATTTCGTGAGGGGACTTGGCCAGCGGGGGGCAAGCCATTGTGTGGATATGATGATGACAAGGACACAAGGAAGACACAAGTATAAAATTTCAATGGAACAGTAGTGTCTTCTACGCTTTCGTCATTGCTGGCTACGTTGCTAAGGCCAGGTCTTTGCACAGGCAACAAGGCAATCAAGATTCGTTGTCAGATGCACCGAGCAGCCGAGTGCGCCTGGCCTAAGCAGTAACTAGGAAGAAGCAACAAGGTATGGCATGGAACAGGTCACGGTAGCTTGCTTCAAGCAAGCACCCAATTAGACGTGCAGTCTCTCTCTCCCTCTCTCCCACTCATGGAACCACCCGTTGCCCCACCGTTCCGTCATTCCGTCGTTCCACTGTCCACCCGTCCCGCTGCAACTGCTGCAACTGCAACTTTCCCACTCACACTCACCATAATTATTCACGAACTTTTGCGTAATGAGTGTGTCGCAGCGAAGCCGCCAACAAGAAGAAAAAGAAGCACCCGAATTCTGTCGACTGTGTCCCTTCGCACTGGCGCAGCTCATTAAATATTTAATAGCGAAATTAAAAGAATATGCAAACTGTGCACAAAATGCTCTGACATGGCTTGCCACAGAGAAAATCCCACCAAATGTGCATTTCCAGCTAAAAAACTTGCACTGTAGTCGAAAATGAAAAGAGAAAGACAGAGAGAGAGCGAGAGAGAGAGGAACTACGTTAATTATTTACACAATTGTTTATTAAAATTACTTTTAAAACTTGTTAATTTCGCAATAGAGTTTCAATTCGTTAATAAACACATATTTACACGAAACTTTCTCGACTCTGGCCCGACTGACTGTCGAGCGCCGAGGCTCGTCTAGGGCAGCGCCTGAGTGCCAGCGAAATAAACTTGTTCAAGTATATATTTGTTTTTATTGATCGCTTGCGGTTGTGCACAATTTAGATCAAGGATATCGATATGGCTTCATGTTCATGCCAAGGCATTTTGTCAATGCTAAAGAACATTTATGCCCATTTTCATTTCGGCGCAGAGTGCCTCGTGAAAACTTGATAGGCAAAGTGGAAAATAATGTGGCTCGGAAGGCAGCAACAACACCAACACCAACACCAGCAGAAGCAGCAGCAGCAGCAGCACTAGCAGGAGCAGTAGGAGCGTCGGAAAATGTCCTTGCCTCTGCTCGAATTCTTGTTGTTCGTTAGCATGGAGTAACAACGAAATTAAATTATTTTCAAGTGAATTTATCAGCATGGCCTAAACGTTGCTGCGTAGCACCCGGAAATTGCTAAATATTTTTGTGTTGCCAATTGAGTTTTTAAGACCGGCATTAGACCCGCCGAGGCACTTATGATTCTGTTATTAACGACATAATTAAACAATAAACTGGTTATGCTCGTATCGTCGGCCCATCGACCGAATGAATTTCGATTTTATGATTGGCAATTGAACCTGAACCATGTGCATGCCTTCGCATATTCCCTTCCATTTGGTTCAAATTGTGAATTAACTCTCATTTACTTACAGTGAAAATACAAATCATATTATTCATAAAATGCACTGCAATTCCATCCCCAGCATCCGTGTGCGTGTGAGAGAAAAAGTAAAAGCAAGCAAAAGCACCCCTATATCCACTATAGGCGCGAGTGCCATTTCCCCAAAGCAAACTCCCTATCTGACACATAGACGGCCAATCCAACTGATTTTTATTAGGACAGCCGACAAGACACATTTGCTCTAGAGGAGGCATA